AGCAAAAAATATAAAAAAAAAAATCTAAACCCTGATTCAGAATTGAAATACAAAGCATTTCTGATGAATGTGGCAAAGACCTGGCCTACAGTCCAGATGGTGGCGGCAGAACCAAGGTCACACAAAGACTTAGTACGACTGGGACCATCAACTTCTGCCCCACAAAGGCCTCATGTGGACACCCCAGGGCAACTCTTGAGTGATATGTGGAAAAATACCCTCATGAAAATTGTGAAGAGTGAACATTCCAAGGGGAAGCAGCCTTCTAGGCAATGCCGTGTTTGCACAGTTCACACAAAAAAGGAGTATGTGTACATTTGCAAGTTCTGTGTAATGCCACTTCACAAAGGGGAAAGTTTCCAGATATATCACACCCTCAAGCACTTCTAGGAGCATTGGTAAGTGTTCTCCAAAAATTTTAGTTCAAAAAATTAATTAGGAGATTTTATATTAAGTTTAAAGTGAACAGTGCACAAGTTAGGGTAGTTTAAAAATGCCGGTCCCCAGGGTGATTTAAATCACCGGTTAGCGAAGTGTTAAGGGAGGAACATAGACTGAGGGTGCTTGATAACAGGATGTTGAGAATATATGGACCGAAGAGGGATGAGGTGACAGGAGGTTGGAGAAAACTGCATAATGAGGAGCTTCATAATTTGTACTTTTTTCCAAGTATAATTAAAATGATCAAGTCAAGGAGGATGAGGTGGGCAGGGCATGTAGCATGAATGGGGGCGAAAAGGAATGCATATAGGATATTGGTGAGAAAGCCAGAAGGAAAGAGACCACTGGGAAGACCAAGGTGTAGGTGGGTTGACAACATTAAAATGGATCTTAGAGAGACAGGATGGGATGATCTGGATTGGATTGATCTGGCTCAGGATAGGGACCAGTGGAAGGCTCTTGTGAACACGGTAATGAACCTTCGGGTTCCATAAAATACTGGGAAATTCTTGAGTAGCTGCAGATTTGGCTTCTCAAGAAGGGCTCAGCTCCATAAGTAAGTATAATCAATGTATAAGGGGTGGGCCTTCTCAGTCCTTGTACTGTGACCTACAGTGATCTATTGTGCTTAAGTAAGTAAGTACTTTTAATAAGCACAATAGACCACTGTGGGTCACAGTGCAAGGGCCAAGAAGGCCTACCCCTCATACATTGAAGTACTTTTAATACTGTTACAAATTCCCATTAACCTGGCAAATGTTTAACAAGAAGCAATCTCTATTTTTCAGTCTCTTAACTGCTCCAATATAGAAAACAGAATGAATATCATAAAAGGCTGATATGGAACATAAATACTAAATGTAATGCAACTCTGTTCTGCTAGACTAGCAAGGCTTTTTTACATGACTGAATGAAGAGAATGAAGATAAGAGTGACTGGACTATTATCTGGAGTGCTGTCACAAAAGCAACAAACCAAATTCCTGCATTGCTGGGGCTGAATAATGCAGGCTTTAGATACTTTCCTTACACTATAATGAAAATAAGTTGAAAGTATTATGTGTCTGCATATGTGCCTGATCAACTTTCTGTTCACCACAATTAGTTCCAGCTCATTTTTGTATTCTTTTAAGTTAAAAATGTACAGATTATAGGAAGAAAATTCACTTCAAGAATGGAAAAAGAAAAATAAGGGTAAAAAAGGATAGAAAGGACCTATTAGTAATGAAAACAGATGATGGCCACACTTGAGCATCATGGTCAAAGAAGGCAGTAGTCTGCACAGTCACTCCCATGAATATTAACCTTTAACGTCTGAATGACACATATATGACGCAAGCAGCAACCAGAGTTGGCCGAATGGCACATATGTGACACAGGACACCTGCACTCTTTGGGAGTGCTGACAGTTTGACCTTGGGTTTGAAATCAAAACAAACCTATGTGAGGTCATGTTAGTGGTTCATTCCTTAGCTCTGAACAAATAAATCGTTTATCTGGGTCCTGGTGTCAAAACTACAGTAAAACTTGGTTATAGCAACATCGGTTTCTGCGACACCTTGTCTATTGCGTCAAATATTCAATGGTACGAACTAATTCCTCATAAAGCAACTGTTTTTATACCTTGCTTAGTACGACATGCACAAATGCATCAACCTCGTATGTAACGTCATTTTCATTCCTGAATTTCTCTGATATCGACATTGAACGTAATTTAGAAAGTGTGTATTGGGCAAGTAACAGGAAACAGATGAAGATAACTGATTACTGTACTCGTATCTAGGTACAGTAAGACACAACAATTGATGTAATCTACTGTAATTTGGTGAGTAGGCCTACCTTTAATATACAGTATTAGTGCGGTGTGTATTGTCAGTGAAAAGCGCTGTAATATGTCTTTGATATTACACATTTGGGCAATTCCACGTTAATGTTACGTTAGTCTGTACTTAACTACGTATTTCACTAAAAAATGCAACATTTTAACTCGGTTTTTGGTAGATTTTTATGTGACTAACATAAGGCTACTGTGGAAGTGCCCATTTCGGTTACAACGACATTCGTTTATAACGACACTATTTTTAGCTCCCTTTGATGACGTTATAACCAAGTTCTACTGTATTTATGTCTATACTAGCTGTGCCCGGCCACACCTTGCTGTGGCTCAGTCTGCACATTCTTCCCCAGTTTGATTTGAAATTACTCGACGCATTGCTTCCGCTCCGCAAGTACGACGACCTAAGTTTGATCTCCTGCGAGGCATTATTTGGATGAACTAAAGCAGATCGATTGCACCGAAGAAGAAGAAAGAAAGTTATTGCATATACATAGATATTAATACAATGTGTTATCTTAAACACATAAATAATTGCAAAACATTAAAAAAGGAAAGAACATGAACTGGAAAACAAAGAAGAAACAAAAAAAAAAATAAAAAAATACTGACGAAATATTTCAATTCAAACGCAGATCAATCGACACAGTCCAATCCCACTGCCAATTGCACTGGAAAATAAGGGACACAGTGAAGAAAACGAAATGAAGAACAATGAAAAATAAACTGTACTCACAAAATGAACGCTATGGTAAACAACACAGCCCAATTCCAACGCAATGTAACACAAAATAATTAAATCAAAACTGTTTCTGCTTTGATTTCACTCGGAATCTCTTGTGATACTCGTGACCCCGTGATACTCGCGTTTCCATGGAAGTATACTTTCCAGTTTCATCCATTGTTACGCAACGGAACCTATTATCCTATGCAGTGGTCTGTTCTAGCGTTAATATGGAAACGACTGCACTGAAGAAGAAGAAAGAAAGTTATAACAAAAACATATGAAATTGCAAAACATTAAAAAAGGAAAGAACACGGAACTGGAAAACAAAGAAGAAACAAAAAGAAAAACAGAAAAAATACTGACGAAATATTTCAATTCAAACGCAGATCAATTGACACAGCCTAATCCCACCTCCAATTGCACCGGAAAATAAGGGAAACAGTTAAGAAAACAGAATGAAAAACAACAAAAAATAAACTATACTCACGAAATGAACACTACGGTAAACGACTCAGCCCAATTCCAATGCAATGTAACACGAAATAATAAAATCAAAACGAAAATTTCGTTGCCACGGTTATTCCTAGGCAGCAATCTGCTGTTTCAACAGTTCATTGCCACAGTTATTCCTAGGCAACGATGCGCTGTTTCAACAGTTCGTTGCCACGGTTATTCCTAGGCAACGATCTGTTGGTATTCGATGGACGACGTATAACGTTTTTTACCTGTTTTTACCTGTCATGGGTGTGACATCTACATAATAGACACACAGAAACACGCGGGTGTTCGAATGCAATGTTGTGTCAAAATTTCGAAGCGATCGGTGAAGAAGTTTCGGAGAGCTTATGTAAGACTCAAACGAACATTTACATTTTTATTTATATAGATATGACTGTTTATGACCTGGTCATCCAAATATAGCCCAGCTTTGCTCTGAGAACCGAAGAGGAAATATTCGTCGGTGCTTGCAGATCAGTGCTTCCAGAGCTTTCAAGGAAGTGTGACATATTCAAGGATTGGTTTTCAGTGGCGAATTATCAGTTAGGAAGTCAGTGTTGGATTGTGTAATATTTCTTTTTCACTTAAAAAGTTAGTGTCAGACTGTCATATATTTCTTTGTATATTATTTTGTGTCTTGGAAGAGGTATAAACCCACTGAGCCAGTATTACTTTGTGAGTAAAAGGCATCTTCGTCACTGTGACTTTTCATATCAGTGTCGGACTGGCACCTTTTTGACTACTATTACAATTATTATTTTTTATTGCTAGTGGGGTGGGACTAAGTCCCTTGTACTGCTGCCACTTCTGGCCTATTGTACCATACTATTACAGTTACTTTGCAAGTCTTTGTCAATCAACATAATTTATTCGATTTATTTCCTTCCCCCAAGATGGAACCTCAAAAACGTGCCCGATATTCCAAACTTCTCGATGCAGAAGAACTGGAGGAAATATTGATGGAAGAGGAATCTGATGAAGAGCTAGAAGATATCAATGAGTTCACTGAACCTCGAGCAAATATGGTGTCATCGTCGTCGTCATCATCATCATCATCATCATGACAAGGCAGAGGATCGGAAATTAGTTTCCTGATAGAAGACCCGGGGATTCACCAAAGGTGGTCCTGAGCAGCTGATCAACAGATCAGCTGCTCCCAATATAAATGCGTCCTCTCCTTTTTCCATTTTCATTCTGTTTTTCCAACAAATATTCCAAATCTTGTTACAAGAAACCAACAGATATTTCCACCAATTTATGGCATGCCAAGATGCTCCAGGCCCTTCTGTTCAACCGCCTGACATTACAATTGAAGAGATATATAACTTTTTAGCAATAATTATTCAAATGGGCCACGATCAACGGGACACCCTCAAAGATTATTGGTCAAGGGATGAGCAATACTACACTCCATTCTACAGTAACACCATGGTACGAGACCGTTTCTTCCATATTTTGAGATTCCTATATTTTGAAAATAATGAAGTTCCTCCCAATCGAGATGACCCTGAGTATGATAGGCTCTGGAAAATTAGAAAAATTTTTTACAATCTCAACAACAAATTCTGTGAACTTTACAATCCAGCAGAACGTCTTGCTGTTGTTCAAAGGTAGAGTGATTTTTGGTCAGCATATTCCAAAGAAACGCAAAAGATTTGGTATAAAAATTTACAAGCTTTGCAATTTTTTTGGGTATACTTATGAGATGACAGTTTATTTGGGCAAACAAAGGAAACTTGCAACAGAAGAAATTACATCGACACATGGCATTGTTCTCCAGCTAATTCAAAGAGTAGAAGGCTTGGAACACAAAATTTACATGGACAATTATTTCAGTTCTCCTCCTTTATTTGACGATCTTTTAGACAGGAAAATAAATTCATGTGGCACTGTTCGCAATGATAGGTGTGGAATGCCACAAGAAATTCGGCCCAAGTCAATGGAATTGAAAAAAGGGGATATTGTTACAAGAGTCAAGGGGCATCTAAGTGTTGTTCGTTGGAAAGACAAGCGTGATGTGTATGTTCTGACGAATTTGCACCCTCCTCCATTGGAAGGCAACTTCCGAGATGAATCTGGCCATGCTGTCAAACCCCATGTAACTGAAGACTACTATGCACACATGGGCTTTGTTGATAAATCTGACAGGATGGTAAACAGTTATGGCATTGCTAGGAGGACATGGAAGTGGACGAAGAAATTGTTTTTCCACCTTCTAGATATGACTATTCTAAATGCATATCTATTACACAAGTCATGTGGTGCAAAAATTACACACAAAAATTTCCGCAAAATATTGGTGCGGGATTTGATTCTTCAGTTGCATGAGGCGAATATAAAAGTCAGTGGCGTTTCTCGGGAGAGGCCAACTGAGTCGACTGGAGGTGAAACATTCACAACACTGGCCAACCAAAGGAAAACAAAGACGTATTTGTTCTCAGAATAAAAAGCGCAGAAGCATGCTCTACTACTGTAAAAAGTGTGATGTTGCGCTATGGTCAACTGCTTCGAGAAGTGGCGCACACGCGTCAGAGTGTGAGTTATCGTAAACTGTGAAGTGACACAGTTCAAACTCGCGTACAGTCTGAACAAATATTATTGTATATAGTGTGATTATATTTACAATATCGCCATGATTCAAGGTTGAAGAAAAAACAATGGGTAAGTCCTTTGGAATTTCATAACATATATAATAGATTATATTTTGCATTTCATGACAAAATATTCACAGTTAATTTTCATTTGTGAAACTTGCTCTTTTATGTATATGTAGAAAATGTTATTGTCTTTCAGATTCTTTTAGTTCATATTTCTATGTTGCATAGAATGGAAAATATGCATTTTTTTCTGAAAGTTTGCAATGATAATAGGGTGATTTAAATTCTGGCCGTACAGGGCTGCTGGCAATTTAAAAGTCTGTACATTAAAGGTTAAAATCTCATTCGATTGTTTGCTTCCTTTTTTCTATTCATTCAGCATCCAACTATATATATAAAAACAAAGGCAAATATTTACAATTTTTAACACTTTTTGTTTTCCATGCCTCAAGTATGATCTTTTAATCTCCCTTGCTTTTGCTTGCCAAACAAAAATGAGTTGCTTCTGGGGTGGATTCTTTTTACTACTTATGTTTGTCACAGTCCAAACCTGTTATAGTTAGTTCTCTGTGGATGCTACTGCCCTCTTTAGTAATTTTTGAAGGGGTAAGTGATTTATTGGCAAGTTATGACTTGTTCCGTGTATTTGGACAGAAGACAACTGCTTTTTCTTACATTCAGTTTGAGTGAATGGAAGAGGACAATGTTACTACAGAAGGCAGGTCTGTAGTTTTCTGAAGATGTAAATTTTGTCCTCAGAAGAGTATAGCTACACCCTGAACTGAAGAAGGAAACTGTTTTGTTCTCAAGGGTCACTACATGATTGGCTTATGCTGACTGAATAACTCTGGGTAGTTAAAAATCAGTCAATTGGAGAAAAACTGTCGTCAATTCTGATCCTTCTGGGGGATGAAGCAATGTTCCAGCAAGATACCTGTCTTTGGAATTTGTCACCTTAAATTAACAGGAGTCAGATGTGATTTGGCTGCACTCCTCATGTCTGCCAAAAGTAATCAGGCCTTCATTTTTGGAGTGTTAAATTTTGATAATTTTTATGTGCTTGTGCAAAGAAAGTTTTGCTTTTGAATAAATAAACAGTTTATTAACAGTAGAAGTAGTTGCTGTGTCACTGATTTTGAAATCACTCCTGATTGTAACACTCAAAATATTTTCGCATTCTCTGGTGTCATAAAATATTTGGAAGTAATAAAATCAATTGGTTCTCTGCTGGCAAGTTTCATATATTTGTTACACTCTTCAGACATTCAAGTTTTATGATTAAAGGACAGAAAAGTGAAAGCACAGCCTTTCAAGAAAGGCTACAGGAAAAATTCTTTATTCCCTACTTCAGTGCCAAGTCCTTCCACTGAAACTGCAGGAGAGTATTGCCCTTTCTACGGTCACAACCAAACATTTGCATTGTGTCTGAAAGAGAGTGCATTTAGTTTTCTGTGACTTCAATGTTGAATTTGAATATTGTAGTTTCATTTTGTCATACAATGGCAATAAACGTTTGGAAAATGATGAAATTGAAAGGCATCTGAAGTGCAAGATATGTGATGTTGGACTGTGCATTTTTGGATGCTTCAAGAGGTAACCTTACAAAGGTGATAGTTACATGATGTATGGGGTGAAGCCTGTACATACAGCAAGCAGATGTGTGGCATGTGTGCGCTTCCACTAGCAGTGTTTAAATAACCAAATGTACAAATCAGGGTATTTTGACTATGATGACCTTACTCATCAGTGTACTGATCAGTGCACTTCAGAAGTTAAAGGTTAAAATGAAGATAAGTCATTCATATTTCAACAATTCATTTATTATGGGAAATAAAACCTTCAAGCCATGATATCCAGTCACACACTGCATAATTATTTATGTAGATCCTCTTTTATACAAACTTATATAACTAAGTACTGATTTTATTTTTTGAGACGGGGACCAAAGGTAAACTTCTAAACCGCCTTCCAAACTGTCAACATGTCTTGACTATAACTTGGGTTCATCACAAAAGGAATAATTTAAAACATGTAAAATAAGTAAAACCTTTTACCTTATTTATTAAAAGTTTTGAATCACAGTTTTGTACTCCTGTCCTCAGACAGTTTCAGTTCAATTACTATCTTCCAACAATGATAGGACAACTACAGCATTGTGTTTCGCACCTATTCCTGCAACAGATAGGAGGAACATAATGTAACTCATGTCATGTTTGTGGGACTGATAACTTGAATCACACAGCAATACACACTTGACATGCAATCAACAAATGCTGCCTGCAAATCCAAAGCTATCTGATAAACTGAAGAAATTTCATTTCCCTCTGACATCAATGACCTAATGAAAAGTAATTCTAACACATATTAAGGGGCACTGAAATTCTTAATGTCATTTTTCTTAAATGAAGATTGAGGGAAAGAAAACATTCTCCTAAGTACATCACAGAGGCAGAAAATGAAATTTTATAAGCATGAGAGGTCAGAACAAGAAAACAAGGAATAAAGTGAGCTGAACACAACTGTAGAGAGATTCAATCACCATTTTGTTTACTAAATTCTGTGTCATCATATCCCCAGGAAGCTGCACAGCAGGAATGCACAAAACATCGTCACGATGATTAGGATGATCATGAGCCAGACAGGTAGTGTACCTACAACATGAGAATCTTCATGAAACACAACTCTGTTGAAATAAAATTTTTGGCCTTATTAAATTTCAGTCATTCATTCAATTCATCAATAGTTCTACAGCCCTTTATTGGGCCCTGGCCCCTTTTTCAATTTCATAATCCGATACACAGTCAGTAGGACTCCTTGGGTGGGGGATCAGCCCATCTCATGGCCACTACCTACACACAGAACAAGACAAACACAGAATAAGCATATACAGACATCCATGCCTTGAGTGGGATTCGAACCCACAATCTCAATATTCGAACAAGCAAAGACAATTCATACCTTAAACGGTGTGGTCACTGTGACTGGCATCACAAAATTTATTTTCCCTTTATCTTTCAGGTTATATATATATAAGGGGCAGTCAAATGAAAATGGGTCACCATGCATAACTCTCACAGAGCGCAAGTTTCTAACACTGGAATTTGCTTACGGTACAAACATTTGGTGGGGGCTTGGGAAAGCACAGTGACAATGTGCCCTTGCACACTAGTCGTTTGTTTATTGTGCTGGAAGTAAGGTTAGTGCTATGTGTGGTCGTCCAACATCAGTAATGGAAGCGGGTAAAGAAGGACAGCGAAGTGTAGTGCATTTTTGACTGCTGAAGGAGTAGGAGGACGAGAAATTCATCTTTTACGGTGAATACAGCATGTCACGTTCGTGTGTGCTGGCGTGGCATAAGAGATTTCGAGAGGGACGTGTGTCACTGCAAGATGATGCTCACCCAGGACAGGCTCGTGTCATCACTCCTGATTTTATTGCTGTATTGGATGGTCATATCCGGGCAAACCAATGGATCACTGTGGAAGAAATTAGTCTTTTGATGGGAATAAGTCATGGTTCCGTACATGCCACTGTGACAAAACACCTGCTGTACCGCAAAATCTGCATGCAGTGGGTTCCACATCAACTCACGGAGGAACAGAAGACTCAGAGAATGACTGCATCACTGGGTCACTTGCAACGATACCGTGAGAAAGAGTATGCTTTTCTGTCCCGTATTGCCACTGGGGTGCCACCATTTTGAACCCGAGAGCAAACAGCAGAGCCAACACTGGAAACACATGAATTCTCCCCCACCAAAGAAATCCAAACAGTACACACAAGTTCCAGTAAAGCGATTACGATGTTTTTCTTCGACTGCAAGGGCCCTCTGCTTGTTGAATTTCTTGAGCATTGGGCCACAATCAGTGCACAGCACTATGAAGACACTTAGCGGAAACTGAGATGTGCCATAAAGTCAAAACGCCCTGGAATGCTATCGAATGGCATTATCCTCCTTCAGCCCCCACACTGCCAACTCTGTGAGGAATACGCTACAAAGATTTGGTTTGGAAGTCCTTCAACATCCCCCCTACAGCCCACATCTCTCCGTATGTGATTTTCACATTTTTGGAGACCTGAAGAGAGACATTTGTGGACACTGATTTGCATTGGACAAAAACGTGTGTGGCTGGGTAAAAATGTGGTTCTGTAAACAGCCCACAAGCTTTTTCAAGGATAGGATTGACCGACTTATCTCCCAGTGGGATAAATGTATTAACAGTTTTGGAGAATATTTTTGAGGTAAGAAATGTTCTTTAATATGATTTGGCTTCTAACCTGTTTTCATTGACTGCCCTTCATATATACAGTAATGAATTTCATTTTTGTTGTCCACACAGCCTGATATGTGATGAGATGCTTCGCTACACAATGCCCTGTTAGTGATTCTATGCAGTTTAACAGCTTTGTTCATACAAGCTAGTACCAGCTTCAGTTGATTTAAGTGATTGGTCATGGAAGCACATTACTCATGAAAGATACTGCAATAAAGTGTAAGATTCTTAAGAGACTAACTAAAGAAAGAAGGATCTGGCAAAACAAGGTTAATGAAAGGACATCCACATTTGGAGAATTTTGTCATTTATTTTGTGAGCTTACAGAATATCCTGACAAATCATTATTATTTGCAAATGTTGTGAGAAATTTCTGAGCATATACTTAGCAGCATAGCACCGCTGTCTGAGAAAAACTATGAGGTTAAGTCAATAAGTAAGTTACAAATGGATATAGAACTTAAACAAATAAGAATACTGATTTGAAAAGTGCTTTTATTTCTCAACATAATGTTCCTGTACATTGAGGCATTTATCCCATTGTTTCACAAGCCACTGAAAACCAGCAGCATAAAATTCTTTTGGCTGCTGTCGGAACCAGGCAGTGACTTCCCTTTCTACAGCTTCATTGTCAGGAAAATATTCAGCCGAAAGACGATGTTTAAGAGGGCCGAAAAGATGGAAATCGCTTGGAGCAAGACTAATCACCTGTGACAATTCAGGCTAGCATATCATGTCCTTCATCGTGGTAGTGATTGAGATGCTGTAATGCCAGACACATTCTTTGCATTTTGTGTTGTGGGGTCAGCATGCGCTGCACCCACTGTGCACAGACTTTGTGAAAACCTAACCTGTCATGCAACTTCCATTTGTTCGCCCCTCTTAAACATCATCTTTCGGCTGAACATTTTCCTGATGATGAAGTTGTAGAAAGGGAAGTCACTGCCTGGTTCCGACAGCAGTCCAAAGAATTTTTCAGGGGCTTGTGAAATGACGGGACAAGTGCCTCGATGTACAGGGAGATTATGTTGAGAAATAAAATCATTTTTTCAGATCAGTACTCTTATTTGTTTAAGTTCAATATCCATTTGTAACTTACTTATTGACTTACCTACGTACAAGAAATTGGAGGAGACATACAGGAGTCAGAAGTTAAACAAAGACCTGCTATTACATTAAATTAGGAATAATAATTTAATAAACTAAGTTCAGGAATTTATATTAATTTTAATTCAGCCAGTTCTGAAGAATTGTTGGCAGGAGTCTACAGAACTACCTGAATTTGAATTAGAAGACCAAGGTGAACAATAGCATTGGAATGTTGTGTCAATAAACCCAAATTTCTGGAGAGGACATGTCAGTAAGTTATTTTCCTGTGGGTTTAAATGTGTTAGTTTACAAGCTTCTGGTATAATGATTGTACTCACTTCTAAAGGCAAGACTATGTATGCAGACGCGATTATCAACAGAGATGCTTACAACAGCAGCCTCGGCAGAGCTGGTAATTGGTAAGCCTCCTGATGCCACAGGAAGGAACTCTAGTCCTGTTATGAACATGCTGTGGGCTCCTTCTATGTGCAGCACTTTCTGCAAAAAACACACATTTGCTTCTGTTGCGATAGATTAAAGTATGATTCAACGACTGTCTAAAGGGGCACAGATTTTGTACAGTAATGACCTTTATCAGCTTTAGCTCAACATGGTGGCCAGAAAGGCAGTTCTAACACTGCTGTTAATCACTAAGAGAAAGGATTTAACCCGTTGCCGTGGTTCGTCGTGTATGTTTCGTCAGGGATTTAAATCGTCTGGGGGGGTTCGGCGTGTATGTTTCGTCCAGCTGCACACCTATGTTATAACGCCCATAATAATTGATGGTTTTGCTGTAGATTGTTAGATTTTTCGCTGGCCTGTTGTCACAAGNTCTTTAGATAAAAAAAACTCCCAATCTTGATTAGAACTTCACGAATTTTCTGATAACTGCCTTTGTTTTGTGTGTTCTCAGTGTCTGATGTCAAAAAAGGATCAGTATTTTATTTTCTTAAATGGAAGAACCCCCCTCCAAAAGAGTTAAAAAACTATGACTGTTAATGCCAAATAAATAAATAATATAATAATGACACCAATTTAACGTGTTTTGCCACTGAAGATGCCGTTCAGATTATTAATTGGTTTATTTAACAACCTACAAGTCGTAACTACAATTGATTATGACACTGTTGCGGGTTTAGATGATTTACAAACCCTGCACACTAATCTATTCACTCTATCTTCAGTAGTCTTCACGTATTAATAACGTGGGAGCTATACAAGTCTCTCTGAATTACACTCCCAATATACTTGTACTACAGTGCACATGAAGTCTTGAAAGTACACAATAAATCTTCACTGGCTGACTTCTCAGTTATCACACACAGTCACATAAAATCTTGTAATCATGTGTTCGGGTCTTCTTTCCATGACTGCTGCTATATTTCAACTGACTTGCTTGGGCATTCCAGTTCTCTTATAAACCCTCAATTGGACAGCAGAAAACCCACATCACTTCACTGTTGCGTAAACGCCATGTTTACAGGTGTTGCTGGGGAACGCTGCTGAGAGTTGTTTATTGCTGCATAGCAACTGCAGTGTCTGCTGTTACGTCACTGTGGGAAGGGGGTGTTTACTGAGCGTTGCATAATGATGGAAGGAGTGGGGGTATGTGACATCACTCGCAAGACCACAGAGTTCACATGACCCCTACTTCCTGTTGCGCCATCCACGTTACATTATATATAATTTGGGCCACTGGCCATTGTGAAGACACTGGTACACTTCCATAAATTTCACTACAGACAAGAGTTCCACCTGCACACATACCACTCTACATTCTGAGCTGGCTGCTCAGCTTCAAGAATCTGGATAACAGATGGCCTGCTGGGTCCAGTACCTCCAAGAACACAGCAATATCAATGTGCTTTCCTGAAAAGAGTGTACTCAATGCCAAAAAGCTCAGGAACAGGCATGTGTTAAGATGGTGTGGGCTATTGCAGCCATAGCTGCACATGGTTGGAACCCTCCCACCCAGAGGAGACAGCAGCTGAGTTACCAAGATGTGGGGCCAATTCTACAGGAACTTGAGGCTAGGCAACACCTGGAATGGAAGGACAATGCCAACTGCAGCCCCACCTACAAGGGCTACTGGGTTCAATGGAGGTCCCTTGCAGCAAGGGATGGCATGCTAAAGCACCACTGGGAGCCATCTGACAGACAGTCCTACCTCAGGGCAAAGAGGATGATGTATTGGCTGAATTCCATAGAGGACCACAGGGAGGACATCTGGATGTCAGTAAGACCATGGACGTCAGACAGTGGTATTACTGACTCCACACAAGAAATGATGTTGACAGGTGATGCTAGAGTGCGACACCTGCACAGCCAGTCATGGCTCCTGAATGAGAGGTCAGGGTCTGATGCACAGTACAACACTAGGGCACCATCTGAGAGAGTGGCCACTGACATCACAAGACCCTTTCCACAGAGCAGCAGAGGAAACTGATACCTTGTAACTGCTATGGACTATTTCACAAAGTGGTTAGAGGCCTATGCCTTCCCCAGCCAGGAGGCATTGACAGTGGTGGAGGACCTGGTCACCAACTTCTTCCGCTGCATTCAAGTATTGACAGAGATGCACAGTCACCAAGGCAGGAACTTTAAGCCTTATCTTATGCAGGTGTTGCAATGTCTGGGAGTAAGGAAGACATGCACCAACCCCCTGCACCCACAGCTGGACAGCAAGGCACAGCAGTATGTAAAGACAGTCATGGAACACCTATTGGAGGCTTGACCCCAGCTAGCCCAGTGTTCAGAAGTGCATTCTGCCCACCCTGTGACCTGCTCTTTGGGGCTCTTACAGACAGGAAGTGACAGAACCACTGTCAACCATGTGGCTGCATGACATCCACTATTATAAATGTCAACATCTGAAGTCTGCCAGTGACAGAATGAAAGTGCACAATGACGACCTGGCCAATCCTACAGGATTTCAAGAATGATCAAGTCTGGCTACATAACCCAAACCAGATGGTGGTGCTGTATAACATGATTGCATTGCCTTTGCCAGCAGGAAGGCCAAGTTCCTCAGTGGCTTTTAGAGCCCAGACAGATCCTTTTTCGACAGCAGTCAAGTAGTCATTAGGCATACAGGAACCTTACATGGGGTATCCACAATAACCACCACCAAGGTATTCATAGCATAGCATAGATATTTGCTTAAGGCCAAACAGGCTGCATCTGTCAATAGCATAATGCTTAGACTGATGAATCCTCTTGCTATCAGGGTGGAGAGGTAACCACTGGAATTTCTTACATTGCTCTGTTTTACTATCACCAGCAGTGTACAAAAGCCTTTCTGTCATATACTCGTAACTGATCATTCCTGCATGTAGATATTTATAGAAGGCCTGAGGGATCATGGGCCATAAGATACACAGTAAACATACTCTCATTAACCTCTATCCAATGCCCTTTCTGACCAGCACCCATCCAAAAAGCATTCTATACTTTCCATATTGGTGCACAGGGCCTTAGCTCTCTGTGGCCATGACAGCCTGCTTGATGAACTGGAATTTCTGAAGGTCACTTTCTGACAAAATAGCTAGAGCAAGTGGCAGATTCTCAGGGCTCTCATGACTCCTGTGAGAGTTGCTCTGCCAAATGGCAAACTGGATTCAGTCACTTTTCTGCCATATGCTTCGTCAACCTTCAACAACATTTGCAGGGCGCTGTTCCAGCACATCAAGACAAATGCCTTCCCACTGAGAACATCTCTACCTTCTTTGGCTGGTGAGGGATGACTTTGGGCTGAGGACACTGGGAATATACAGTATCACCTATGAATGTAATCAGGGTTAAAATGTAGGCTGTCTCTGCATAGTGTCTACCTTGCAATCTAATTGCACAAGATTTCATCAGACTCGCTTAATAAATGTGTAACTAATATAAACACATTGTTACCATCATATAATTAAATATAAATATAAATGGCAAAATTAATACACTTATATTATATATATGTATGAGGGTGAGTCAAATAAAAAACTTAAATTTGTAATAAAAAATCGAAATTTCGCGCCATTATCCTGTAAGTTGGTAAACGTGCTACAAACAGCGTGCAGAATGGCCTGTAGGTTGAAGCATAGTGAAGATGCACAAACACCGTTACAGCACCAGTATAAGATGGCTGCCCCACTTGAGACTTGCACCAGGGAAGAACAGCATTCTGTTATTCGGTTTTTGTGTAGTGAAGGTGTGAAACCTATTGAAATTTATCAAAGAGTGAAGTTTCAGTATGGTGATGCATCTTTGTCACAGCAGCAAGTGTATGAATGGAGTAGGAAGTTTACAAATGGTGTGACTTCAGTGGAAGATGCTCCTCGTCCGGGTCAGGCAGCAGTTGAAGCCATAGTGAGGGAAAACTGCCAAGTGACATTGAATGAAATTGCAGCAAGTTTAAACATTAGTCATGGTTCAGTACACCACACTGTGCACAATGTGCTCCAGTTTCACAAAGTGTCTGCAAGATGGGTGGCATGGCAGCTGACTCCTGAATTGAAAGTCCGACGTATTGATGCTTGTGAAGACCTTCTGCGGCGCTTTGAAGGAGAAGGTGATGACATCCTTGCAAGAATCGTTACTGGGGACAAAACCTGGGTTCACTTCCACCAACCGGAAACAAAGAGAGCGAGCAAGGAATGGCGCCATTCCTCATCTCCAAAACCGAAGAAGTTTCGAACACAACCATCAGCAGGGAAGGTTATGCTGACTCTCTTCTGGGACGAAAAAGGCATCATCTTGGAGCACTACACGCCTAGAGGGACCACTGTCACCAGTAGATCATAATCAGATCTCCTAAAAAATCATCTTTGGCCTGCACTCAAATCAAAGCAACGTGGATTGCTGTCCACAGGTATTCTTTTGCAACATGATAATGCAAGGCCCCATACTGCCCGTACAACAGTTGCGACAATCAATGACCTGCATTTTGAGTGTCTTCCTCATCCGGCATGCTCACCAGACCTTGGCCCAAGTGATTTCCATATGTTTGGACCACTCAAAGAAGCAATGGGAGGAAAGATGTTCCGTTCTGATGAAGAGGTATGCCACGCGGTGCATGAGTGATTGCGCGGACTACCAAAAGAATTTTTTCTAAAGGAATTCATGCACTTTGTAAGCGCTGGAGGACTTGAGTGTGGGGGAGATTATGTTGAAAAGTGATACAGCTTTGTACCACTCGTGCACAATAAATAATACTCAAAAAAATATTTAAGGTTTTCATTTGACTCGCCTACATATATAAGACAGTGGGAGAAGATGATTGGTTACACTCTGGACTTAATGTCTTGCCTAAAAGTATGGATGCATAAATAATACAAGTAAATACGGTAACATAAGAAACAATCAATCAGTGCTTTAACAAGAGAGCACTGCAGAGCACAAAACCCATCACACATTTTTTCATACTGACCATCAGGAATCCCAATATTTTTCATCATATGCAGATACCAAACTGGGTATCATTACATGTACCTCAGACATACTCCAACTGAAGTCAAGTAATGTAATGGGGGGGGGGACAAAACAAAACAGAAAAACTCTGTGGCCTGAGTCCGCAAGTGAACTACACCAAGTGAGTGGCCGCCGCTTGTCGGCGAAATTAGTGCCAACTTTATCGGATAGAGGGTGCTGCATGGTCAGTGCAACGAATCCCCAGGGCCACTAATTTTGGCCTTCTAGACCGGATTATTTTAAAATTATACTGTAGAAAATAATGAAAGTAATGGAGACAAGGACCTGTACCTGCAGACTGAAGGCAATGTACACCGAAACACTGCCACTGAACATAGTGCCCACAGCAACGAACCTCCCATCATCTGAGACTGCCAAGGCTGACAAGCTGTCATTGCATGGTACAGCCTTCTTCAATGAACCATCCTGTGGTAGCCACAGCTGTAGGAATGCTTTCTGTCTCCCTCGTTGGCCCACAGGATTTACCAGCATAAAGAGTCGAGTGTTGTTCACATTTCCTTCAACCAAGCCAAACCTAGTCACAATAAATGTGTCTATTATTTCAGAAAGCACCCATCAACAGCAAAACTTGTGAATCTGGTTACTCTGCCTGTTTGCCATCTGGTATAACTGATCCAATTTTTACACAACCAACATCATACTGATTTACCCACGGCTAATCTCCTTTAACTTGTTCACTTTTTTGCATTTCATGCTGTGATTCCAAATGTACTTCAGTCTTCTATATTAGCCACAGAAAATAACTGACTCTCTGTACCAGTCTGCACAAGCGAAAGCCTGCCCATCCTTCTGTCCATTGCATGTATAAGCTGCACATGAGACTAGGACAGAGGAAACAAGTAATACATATTAATCTTTCATTAACCGTTCAGCGTGGTTTGACATGTATGTTTCGTCAGGTATTTAAATCGTCTGCCGGGGTTCGACGTCTATGTTTCGTTCAGCTGCACACCTATGTTATAACGCCCATAATAATTGATGGTTTTGCTGTAGATTGTTAGATTTTTCGCTGGCCTGTTGTCAGAAGGACAGTATATAATGAGGCACGAGTTTTTCTGTGCTAAGTCATCGTTACATATGCCTGTCTTGCAGCAAAATCGTGTTGCGCGTGGAAGACATTTCCTCATTCAAAATGTTATGGATGGCGTGTTTTCTTTCCTATGAAGTTATAAACAGCAGAGACGTGATATGTGCTGTGTTTATAATATCATATTGCCCTGAGCTGGCCACACTAACACACTCAATTGGAATTCTTAGAAGAGGGATGTCCAAAAATTTATTCTTGCAAGATCGATTGATTTCGCACAGTACATAGCAGCGAGTTCTTGGAAAAACGTCACGAATTAAGGCAGAACACTGTGGTC